CAAACCTGTACGAGCATCAACTGAACCAACACACGCTTCCTGCTGTGACCCTAGAAGCTGTAGTTCTGTAGTTCTGTAGTTTTCCTCCATCAGCCAGAACCAGGACCGGTTCTGCTCACCGCTCTGTGTTCTGTGTGTTCCAGCTGCTGAAGGCCAGGTGCTGACGTCGGCCCACCTCATCTACATGGGCAGCCAGGTGGCCGAGGGCATGGCCTACCTGGAGGACCGCAACATCGTGCACCGGGACCTGGCGGCCCGGAACATCCTGGTGGGAGACGACCTGGTGTGCAAGGTGGCCGACTTCGGCCTGGCCCGGATCATCAAGGTGGGTCGCCTCTTCATCCGTGTTCCCTTTAAATATGTAGAAGCTGCCGTGTTGTTCAGCCGCTGCATTATTTACACGTTTCTATAATTCATACAGAACCAGACGACCGGTTCTGTGTCGCGGTCCCACAGAGACCCGTGTTTACTGTCAACAAACCAGCGTTTAGCTTCAAAACACACGACCGGAGGAAAAAAAACAAACAAGAAAACCAGCATTTATCTCGTTTCTCTGCTTCAGGCTAAAAACAACAAGAATTAAATGCAGTAAATCTGGAGCACCGGGTTCAATGCTGCTGCGCTTTAATGCAACTGATCATTAATAATAATAGAAGGTTTGCATCTAATAGTATTAAACGAGTATGTGAACTTCCTGTTTAACCGTCTGAACCCTAAAACTGTTCAGTGGCTCTGAAATCATTCCTACTGCTCGTCCTGGACTCATCGTTCACACGCAGGAATCGTCACCAAATCAGATGTTTTTATTCGACACATCTCATTTAAAATTTAGCAAAAGATAAAGCCTTGGCTTCAACCGGATTCTGTAAAAAACAAAAAATTCTGTGACTCTCGTCGCAACCGAGGAGCTTTTAGTAACTCATCTGAGACCAACGGTGACGTGACAAAAAATCCCGCCGCTGTTCGGTTTTGACAAAGCGATGCTCAAAACTGCAGATTTTTTCATCTGAATTACTTTGTCCTAAATGTCACAATAAAAAAATCGCTAAAAATGGAACGTTTGTTTGAACCAGAAGGTGTAAAAAACAAAAAATTCTGCATTTTTCAGCGCAAATGAGAATATGTGACTGATTCATCTGTGACCGACAGTCATGTGATGAAAATTCAAGAACCTTTCGACTGAACTGCAGGCGGTGGAAGAAAACTAAAAATATAAATAGCTTCATATCTTTATTATGTAGAGCTTCTTTTCTCCATATCGGTCAAACCTGTGGACACTTTACAGGTGGGTTTCAAGTTTTGTAAATTAGATATTTAAAATCTTTTTCTACGATTTATGGCTTTACAACCGTGTCAAACAGCGCAGAAGACATTTCTGAGTTCTGACTTGTTAAAGTCACAGTTATGTCGACAACAGGAGACACGAAGCAAGAAAAATGAGCCGCACAACGACTCAAATCATAAAAAAATGACATAAAATGACAAAAACGAGATCCAGAACACAGAAAATGAGACTCAAAACAACAAGCTTTAGACATAGAAAGACAAAAATGAGACTTAAAACCATAAAAATGAGACAGAAAATGACAAAAACGAGACTCAAAATGTCCAGAAATTGCTCAGAGGTTTAATTTGATCACATGAAGATGACAAAGCAGAAGGAGAAACTCTGTTTGTTTGTTCTGACCCGGTAACGAGCTCTAACTCCGCCCCTGCAGGACAGCGTCTACACCGCCAGCCGGAGCACCAAGATCCCGGTCCGGTGGACGGCTCCGGAGGCGGCCATCTACCAGCGCTTCTCAGTGAAGTCGGACGTGTGGTCGTTCGGCGTGCTGCTGTACGAGATGATGTCACGGGGAAAGATGCCTTACGAAGGTACCGCCGCCGCCACTTCCTGTTCTCTAAGTTGACCTGGGAGGAATCCGGAGCATGTCCGGCTCCCAGAAACACAATGTGGGCGTGAACACTGAGTCACTGGGCGTGGACCAGCTCGTCACTAAACTGGAATCTAAAGACTGAACTGGCTTTGTTAGAAACGACGTCATTTATGAGCCAGAAACCGTAAAAACTGAAGGTCTGTCGGCAGAAATGATCAGATTCCATCAAGTTCACTTCATTTGTCAGGTTTAGATTTTTTTAAAATGCCAGAAATCTGCCGTGTCCATGAACCAGAACTAAGAAAACCTGCTCTCCTTGATCTGACTGAGGTAACAGTGACTCAGCAGAAACCCACAGCGACACGACAACAAGGCAGCGTTTACACCAAACACACACTTCACAGTGAAACGTGAGCCCACGCTGGGAAAAAAAACGTGACTCGTTTAGAAATGTACCAAAAACAAACCGTGTGAATGACCAAGTTTTCTGTAAAAAAACCAAAAATTCTGTCCTCCTCGACCAAACTGGGAAGATGTTAACGACTGGGCTTCGACCAACAGCCTCGTTAGGAAAAATCAGGGACTTTGTGGATGAAATTTAGCATCGGCAGGAATATCTGAAGAGTTTGTTTGCAGAAACAGTTAACTCCATCGTCACAAACCTCCAGAAAACCATCTGAAGACGCCATCAGTCAAACTTAAGCTATCTCTGTTGTTGTCATTTCTGCTGAGTCACTCAGCTTCAGTTTGATTGATGTTATCTCAAGAAAACAAGTTCTGAACATCTACAAGAATGGAGTTATCTGTTTTCACAAATGAGCTCTTTATTTTTAGGCTACGTAGGAGCTCCAGATAGAATCAGGAAACTACTGAGAGGTTACGCTGTTCTTATGGTGACTGCTCCATCCATCAGCGACCACAGAGTCACGAGAACCGGCCATCTGGACTCAGCCGTTTGTGGACTTCACCGCTCAGAGCTGTTGAACAGATCTGATGAAGAAACGAGCTAACTGCCTCTCTGTCTGCTCCCCCTCCAGGTAAAAGCAATAAGGAGGTGCTGGACCTGCTGTCGTCGGGCTTCCGGCTGCCCTGTCCGACCCGCTGCCCGCAGAACATTTACCGCATCATGATGGACTGCTGGGCCGCCGAGCCCTCCAAGAGGCCGTCCTTCCACGCCCTGCACAGCCAGCTGGACACCATATACGCCAGGATTTACTTCAAAACCATCGAGGTGTAGAGCCTGGAGGACGTGGGACCGACACATGAAGGAAAGAACTCGTAGAGAAATCCACAACAGGGTATACGTACTTTACAAGGTGTGAAGAGAGACGATGCTCGGAGAGTCGAGGAGTAAAAACTGAGAACTCTTCGTTTGTCGGGGTAACAGAAGGACCGGCGGCCCGCTGAAGGTGTGTGGACACACTCCTGCCGAACACTGACGCCCTGAGCACATTCACAGAACCAACTGTTTTTAATTTTATACCCTTTCTTGTGTTTTATAAATGACGGTTTATTACTTGTGTACCTTGTGCCATGTTCAAAGTACCACGAAGTCGCAGGCCAGGACTTGAACGGATCTCTTTGGACTTCAACACCAGAAACATGGAGTTTATGTGCAATAACGAAACACTTGCTGAGTTTTTTTTTAGTAGCAGACCGGGTGTAGCGATGCTAAGTTCTAGTCCAGAGTTAAACGTCTTGGCAGCGATTGGATCGACTGTCAAGATGTTCAGTAAAGACCTTCCAGGAAATGATCTGGTGATTCCACCACTGTTCATCACACGTCTTCTCTTGTTGTGAACTAATGACCAACGAATTGGAAGCTTAAGGACGGATACACCAACCCAGAGCTCTGTCAGTGCACATGTGGCATCTGAGTTACACTTGAACCAATCGTACGACGGTTTGGGATGAAGGTTTATTTGTTCTCTTGCGGTGGATGAGTAGGTTGATGCCACTAAAGTGTCTTCATTAGCTCCACAGGTCCAACCAGGAGGCGGTCATTAGAACTGAGCAAAATCTGACTCAGAAAAATGTGGACTGAGGGTATAAGGCCGGAGGGTCATTCCATTAGAAACCAATCAGAGCCGTACTTTAACTTGTAAATGTAGCCGTTAAGTGGAGAAACAACTTGAATGTTCAGTGTGTAATCTTGGTATCCATCAGTACAGAGGAGATCATTAGGGTGCAGGAATTATCAGGGTTTCCTTCAGGAAGTCGCTCAAATGTTACATTTTGCAAATTAAAATTTTCTTGTTTCAGAAAACTTCCGTAATCCTGTCTAGAAGATGATCCTCGTATCACATACAGGTAAAAACTAAACCTTTCATTTGCTATAACTGTCTACGATACGTAAAACTAATTTTAAAAAATGTCCCATATTAGTATTCACCTCGTCCAAAATGAGCCAATAACTGGCCAGCATACCTCCAACTACTCTAAATCGGCTGAAAGTGAGCCTTGTTTACCCAGAATGCACTTTGTAGAGTTTTCTCTGGTGAATGATCAGAAACCAGAACCACATCCAGGGTACCGATGATTGTCTCTATGGCTCCATGTCATAGACGTTAAACTGTTCACACTACGATACATCCCATAATACTGATGCTCAGAGTTGCAGAAACTGAACTAAAACCAGACTCAGAAATGATGAAAGAAGAAATAGGAATTAGAAAAGCATGGAATTTGGACCCACCTCTATGGACTTCAAGGGCCTAAAGGTTCCCGTATAGGGTTGAAAAGTATACCTACCGACAACTGTAGAGACCACTCATCACCATCTTGTGTCTGTTGTTGTTTCAACTCAAACAGAAATAGAAAAACAAGAATGTGGAGTTTTATAGGTACTTCTGTGCAAGTATTCTACCTATTCCTTGGTGACCTGAAGCTGTGGCGCTAAGCTAACTAGTAGCACGTTTGCATTTAGCACACGGACATCAGAGTGGCATCAAGTTTCTCATTCAACTCTTGTTACGGAGACGAGTTTACCTGAACGCTGAGTCACTGTTTTGATGCTAACAAGCATGAAAACTTGCCATGTTGAAGCATGCTAACATGCTAACCGTAGCATGTTAGCATGCTCAGTAGCATACATTGCTAGACAAACACTGCACGCCAGCAGCACTGAGCCTGAGGCAGACGGAATGAGCCGAATGGAGCCTGAGATGTGCTAACATGCTAACACTGCTGACTCAATAATCTTCATTCTGGCGCCATTCTCAGGACCAACATCAGCGATCTGATATTTGTGTTCTTCGTCCACCCACCACTGTCTACTTCCTGTCTTCTCGGGGCTCTTCATGTGACACCGTTGGTCTTGTTATGAACCCACAAAGTGTTTTCTTCGTTCCACCGTCTGTCACAGGGATCCAGGAGGATTCTGGGCACCACGTTAGCGTCTGATATCTCGTCTCTAGAATATTATTCCCGCTGTTTTCGTCCTTGTGAGATGCATTTAGCGGTGGCCGAGCCCGTGCTTCTAAAGCCAGAGCGCCACAGTGCCATGTGTACAGGCCTTAAGTTATTCAAGCTCCTCTCAAGGCCCTGAATCAAGGCCGGTTACAACTAGAGTGCCTATGTTTACAATGCAGACTCTGTCCACACAGCGAGCTACAAAGACTTGAGAACGAGGCTACCAGACCTGCAGAGTGGAGCAGCCAGACCTTCTGCACCACGCTGACCGTACAGCAGCGTCGCACCGAGCAATGCAATCTGAGAACAATGCAACTTCGGTCTCTTATGCATGAAACTCACAGCGAACGAAGCCAAGTTCAGGAAACTTGAGCCATAATCACCGAATCACAAGTCTGAGTTTGTGTTTTGTTTTTGTTTTTGTTTTTCGCCTGTGTGCAATCAGGAACAAAACACCAGTAATGCAAAGAATAAAGTATTTTAAGTATTGTTTTGAAATGTGTCTGGTTTTGGTCGTGATGTCGTCTCAGAACCTTCCATGTTCTCTGCTGTTGTCTTTAAAATACAGTCGTGACTCGATGATCAGACACTAAACGTAAAACCTTCTTCTATGTCGGATATCAAGGCTGTCGGATTGTCCAGACGGAGGTCCAGATACGAGGAGGGCTTGATGCTGGAAGGATCATTAGTTCTTCATTATTGTTCATAGTTGTTATAATAACTAGTGTGTTGTTAGAACACGACGCATCGCTGGACTTCAGCCTAACTGACTGATGTGATTGTGCCACTTCCACCCCGGGGCAGCGCTCTGACGGGGTAGAAGTGTCCAGAACACACAGGCAGTACTTGGCTGCTGATGCTAGTTTAGTTAGCGCTCACACTTCTGTTTCCTCCATCGGTGGCGGCGGGGGAGTGGCAGATANTTATTGTTTTTTCATGTTTTTGTAGTGATTGTGTCTTTTGTAGTGATTTTGTGTTCGTTCTGGGAATTTGCATCTTTTTTGTGCTTGTTTTGCATCAGCTGTGGATCTTTGAGCCTATTTTGCTATTTGTTTGTGCTTATTTTCATTTTTTGTGCTAATTTTGCATCTTTTTGCAGCAGTTTATCTTTTTATGGCAGTTTTGAGTCTTCTTATCGTGACTTTTGACTGTTTGCGGTGATTCTACGTTGTGATTTTGGACCTTTTTTGTGTTTGTTTTGCATTTTTGGTGGAATTTATTTGCATCTTTTTCCATGTTTTTGCAGTCGTTTATCTTTTCATGGTGATTTTTCACTGATTTTGCATCGGTTCGTGATTATTTCGACCCATCGTGGGGATTTTACGAATCATCACGAACGTAGCTGTGAGAAAAAATAATAAAACGTAAAAACTGTTCCTACAGGAAACAATCGCTCACCGTCAGAGAACGTTCAGAGCCTTCATGTTTACATTCTGGTGAAGCTGAGCAGGTGAACGCAGCCTGGAGGTCAGTGAACGCCTCACCAGTTAAAAACCGCCTCATGATCCACAATGAAAATCACTAAACTGCTGATTTCAGCGTTAATGTTCCGTGTTTTAGTTTCTACGAACACAGAAGCTCCTGTCACGGTGAGCAGCGCCACCTTCTGGCCACTTCCTGTGTAACCACATAAACATGGTGTAACCACAGAGAGCTGCTGCTGGTGTCTCATCGGCTCCTTTATTGACTCACGTTTCAAATCGTCCCTCCGTCGCCTGATTCACTGGTTTTAGATCCACTCAGATCCTCAGGAGCCGATTTGTTCAGTGTTTGCTCCGCTGCTTAATAATAATAATAATAATAATAATAATATCCGGCCGTCGGACTGTTGAACCAGCAGCTCATCTTTTATTCATTTAAGGAGGAAGTTTTGAGCTTTAATGCTGCTGCTGTCATTTAGCCAATAAACACATTAAAGGGCAGCACGTCTGTTATTATTATCATCATTACGTTCATTATGCTGTGGATTAAACAAATAAATAAATAAATACATCAATTAAAAATTAAAAATAAGGAAAGGTGCAGGGAACTTTCTGGCACTTTAGTAAGTCCACAAAAATATGTCATTTAACAGATAATTAAATGTAAAAAAAAAAACTTGTAAAATCTATAAAATTTAAGAAGCTTTTGTCTTTTTTTTTTTATCACTTAATACTAATTAATAAAAATATATATTCACAGTGTTGGTCTTGTATTGAACAGTTTCTTCTCAAGGAAAATCTTTTAATGTTTGTGTTCTTATGTCGTCAAAAAAAATGTGTGTTTTTATTTTTGTTTTTGTTTTTTTAGGACATTTTTATGGTTGTTTAGACGAGTTCAGTGATATTTTAAATTAAATTCAGAATTTGTTTTATTTATTTGTGTATATAAAAAATTGGGGAAAAATTTAAATTATAAAATTTAAATAGCTTTTGTTTTTGTTTATTTATTTATTTGTTTACTTTTTTTTAACAGTGTAAAGCCTTTTAGTTGGGAAAAGTAGTAATTACAGTAATTACACAAAATATCCGTCATTTACAAAATAAATCTGTAAAACTCTAAAACCCATTTTATTTTCTTTCTTTGTCACTGAATGTAAATAATTATAAGAATATATTTAAAGAATTAATTTGTACAAATAAATTACCAACTTTTTGTTAAATACATAAATATTTGCCTTTTTATTGAGGTTTTATCTTTTAAAATAAATCAAAATGTTTTTAAAAATTAAATGAATAAGTTTTTAATTTTAATTTTAATTTTTTTTAAAAATACATTCCATCTGTTTTTTCAGAAAATGTGTATAATAGATTTTATTTAATTTTTTCTGCATCGATGAAGGATTTAATTTGAAAAATACTTTTCAGTCATTTTGAGTTTTATTTATGGCAAATTTATTGTAAATTAAAAACTAGTTCCTCTTTGTTAAAATCTTATAAGGAAATCATAAATTGGGAAAATAATAATTCTGGTTCTTTATTTTTACAATAAACACGTTTCTGCAGTTTAACAGATATTTTTGTGTTTTATATATTAATTAAAAATCTAAACAATAGTTTTGCATCAGCAGCAGAATCAGAGCATTTTGTAGTTTCTCATTTATTTCTCCTGTTTCTAAATTAAATGAAGATCAAACAAAAAGCTGCTGCTTATGAAGAAAACCCTCATTAGAGACGAACCCGCTCAGTTCATTCAGCCTGAACGACCTGAACCGGTCCAGATCCGTCTGTTCTGGTCATGAAACCGTCCGACCAGCAGCGAGACAACAACACGGGAGAGTGGAGGTAAAAATAGAGGATCAGAGGGGGGCAGCACGGAGGTAAATAACCAGGGAGGGGCAGCCGGCGTCAGGGGAATACAGGAGGAGGGAGGCGGCCGCCAGAGAGGCTGATGTCATCGCTGCCCCTCAGCCAATCAGAGCGCAGCGGGGAGGGAGCGGAGGAGGAGGAGAGGCTGAATCAGAAGGGTGTGTTTTATGGACCACTGCAGCATCAGAGCAGAAAGGAAGAAAAAGAGACGCGAGTCAGCGGACGGGACGCCGAAGCCCAGAAAGAAAGGAAGAAAGGAAGAAAGGAAGAAAGGAAAGGGAACAAAAGGAGGATAAAGGAGCCGGAGCAGGAGGCTGGAGGACAGAAGACACCTGCAGAGGTAAGGAGCTCACAAAGGCTGGAGTCAGGGCTGCAGGAGGGGAGGCCCCGGCTGCCAGCACCTCCTTACATAATGACAGGAGCTCAGCCGGAGTCCTGCTGCTCTGGATCCTCTGGACCGGTCTGCAGGGAGGGCCGGCTGCTCTGGAGCTCCTCAGGGCTCCGTCAGCATGGAGACGCTCCGTCAGCATGGAGACGCTCCGTCAGCATGGAGACGCTCCATCAGCGTGGAGACGCTCCATCAGTGTGGAGACGCTCCATCAGTGTGGAGACGCTCCATCAGTGTGGAGACGCTCCATCAGTGTGGAGACGCTCCGTCAGCATGGAGACGCTCCGTCAGCATGGAGACGCTCCGTCAGCGTGGAGACGCTCCATCAGTGTGGAGACGCTCTGGAGCTCCTCAGGACTCCGTCGTCCACAGCTGGCTGTAGTGGAGCTTCTGTCTGGTGATAGAACTGTGGTTCTGGTGGTGTCTCTGGACCTCCTCCGTATCAGCACATCCCAGCAGAAGCAGACTTGATTCACAAATGCATCTAAAACAAGTCGCACAGCCCAAAATGACTTGAAAATGTTTTGAAACGTGTCCAATAATGGCTCAGATTGTGTGTAGAATAGTTCAAACTGTCGGTCTTTAGGTTTTCCTGCACCTCCGGATCGTATTTACGTCTAAAATTACTCTAAATGTGTCCAGAACAGGAGCTAAATTACCCCAAATGACCTCGTATCTGTTCAAAACTAAGCCCTACAGCCCAAAATGACCTGCGAGTTGTAGAAAATGTTTAAAAACGGGTCCAAAAATGACTCAAAGTCTGTCTAGAATGGAATAAAAAAAAAACAAAAAAACTTTAAATCTGTTTAGCTCTCAGACAGACGTCTACCAGGAAGGATTTGGTTCTTGTTCTCCTTCGTATTTGCAAAACAAATGACAGGAATCGGAGCAAAACTGCTCAGAAACACCTTAAACGTGCCTAAAAACGAGTCAATCATCTGAAATGAGCTGAAAAATGTCCAGATTTTGCTTGAACTTTGTTCCAAAATGTCTAGAAATGACCAGAATGTGTCCAGAATAGACTAAAAACTGCCCAAAGTGACTCAAAATTCATCCAGAATAAGTTGAAAACTGCCTAAAAGGACTTCAAACTTCACCAGAAGGAACATTTTAGGATGTTTGTTTGGTATTTATCGATCATTCTTCAGGGAACGTGTCGCCTGCTGCCTGTCAGGATGAATATTGAATGAAAACGCTGCACTTTACAATCATATTGCGTTCAATTATTCACCGCCGTCTCCATTAAAGCGCCGACGCTACCGGTAACAACCCGGTTCTTCTGTCAGAGGAGCCTCCAGACGTCTTCTGATGCTGCAGATTTCTGCAGTTTGGAGACGAAATCAATTCACTGAACCTGATTGGAGGCAGCGAGATGATTCACAGCCTGACCACCATAAATGATGCTGGTTTAGTCCAAAATTATCCAAATTCAGCTGAAAATAAGACAAAAAATGTGCCCAGAAGTTCTCAAACGTGTCTGATATGAGATGTGGATGGTCCGAAAATGTCAAAAATATCCAGAATGAGCTGAAAAATTGTCCAAATTACTTTAAAACTGTCAAAAAACTTGTTAAAAATACCACAAATATTGTCCAGAAGGTTAAAAATAACCAAAATTGGACCAAACAAATTACATAAAATGTCTGTAAACTTGTCCAAATGAGTTAAAAACTTTTCGGAAATAACTCAAATATTGTCAAGAAGGTTTGAAATGTTTTTAAAATGACCAAAAAATGGTAAAAAATAACATAAAAACTGCCTAAAATGTGTTTAAACTTGTCCAAAGTGAGCTTAAAACAGTAAAAACTAGTTGAAATGTCTTG